CACTCTTTCATCTCATGGTGGCCAATTTTAGCTTTATCAGAGCTCTTCTGTAGGTTTTTAACTTTCTTCAGAAAACTATGATTCCAGAACCCCCAATTTATGTTTCCTGGCATGAAGAGCTTTACTTGGAAAAGCCCAATAATAATTAGAAGTCCCAATCCTCTCACAGTCAACCATGCCATCATCAACTAAACTCTGAAGGACTTCTTTTACTGACATGGCAATAATGCCCTTCTCTTTCGGAGCGATCTTCTCCATGTCTTTTAACTGGAATACATATTTTGTCTCAAAAAAGATTTCCGCCATGAGGGCTCTCTTTTCTTCTGCATTCAGTCCTCTTTTCTTCCACATGGCGTGGGCAGCAAGTCTCCCAGTGGCGGCCAAGAGTATGTATTTTTAACTGACCACAGTCTCCCAATGAACTAGTATTAAAATAATTTCACATGTAATGTGAGATCTTTATGTATATACTTTCATTATCCCCTTTTGTGCTAGTTTTCATGCATTTCTACATATTGTAAAACCTACAGTGCTTCCTTAAAGTGGTCAGATAGTCTTTAAAGAAAATTAAAAAACAAAAAATTATTCACATTTTTATCATTACCAGTGCTTTTCATTTCCTTGTGTAGATTTTATGTTCTATCTGATATATCAGGTTGTTGGGAAAGTCATAACATATTTTTCTGTGTTTTTCTATGTAAAAATGTGCCGTGACTTTCCCAACAACCCAATAATTGTTTTTAAGTCTGAAGGAAAATCTAAGAATGCTAAGAGAAATTTTGAGCATTTATTAATCTGAGAAAGTCTTTTTTTTTTTTTTTTCTTCAGCACCTTAAACATTGTGTTTCGGTTGCCTTCTGGCTCCCAGTTTGTAATGAGAATTAATAACTTTTATTCCTCTATACATAATGTATCACCATTTCTCGGGCTTTTAAGGTTTTATCTGTATCCGTTGTTTTCAACAGTTTGATAAGAATGTGCTTAAAATGGTTTCTTTATATTTATTCTGATTAGGCTAATTGAAATTCTTAAATTTGTCAACTTTTTCCCTAAATTCGGAACATTGTTAGCTCTTCTTCAAATAGCTATTCTGTCTCACTTTTTGTCTTCTACTTCTGAGACTCCAATGAAATGTTAGACCGCAGGTAACTGAGACTCTGTTCATTAGTAGTTGTTTTTTGTTTTTGTTTTAACTAATAAACTCTTTTAAAGGCATTTGAGGTTTGTGGGAAATTGAACAGATAACAATTGAACAGTTCTTTCTTGCCCCCTCACATTTGATTCTATTATTAATAGTTCCCAATAATGGTAATAAATACCATTATGTAACATTGCATAGATATGTACATATATAATTTTCCTTTTCTTCACTTTCTATGCCTTATTGCTCAGGTAGCTGCTCTTCTGTGTTAGAGAGGTCAGTCATAGATTTGGTCACCTGGTGAATAGGACTTTGTTTACTTAATACAGGTTTTGCTAATGATGTTTATCTTAGTATAATTGAATTGTTATATAAAGATGAGTGGACGAGTTTGTTTCACTGGTGCTAATATAGCACATCTTTTTTTGCACATTGCATTTATTCCTTAATATATTTGATTTTCTTTTTTGCTGGTAAGCACCTAAAGTATGTATGTGTATGTACATGTTTCTTGTGACAGATTAATATTGAGTTTTGAATTCTCAGATATTGTATTATTCTTCATTCATTTGCATCACCTGCCAAATTCAGGCTTTGTTTTTATCCTTTCTAGGCCCAGCTTCAAAGAGAAAAAGAACAAGATCAGATGAAGCTACATGCAAAACTCGAAAAGCTTGATGTCTTAGAAAAGGAGTGTTTTAAACTTACAACAACTCAGAAAACTGCTGAGGTAAGCTTCCACTTGTTTCTTTGAAGTGATAATACCAGGAGTAAGTCTTTAGTATTAAGCGTAATTGGCGCGGTATGTGAATGTTTGGTAAATCTTAGATATATAAACTTCATCTACAACTTTTAGTAATCCAGATATAAATTCCTACCTGGAGAGATGAAAAATTAATGTGTTCTGTCACAGCATGAATGAGCTTGCCTTTTGATGTAAAATTGTAATTTCGACTTTTAAGATGTCAAGATCTTTTCATTTGTCAGATAATTTACCCAAAGTATCTTGAAAAGATTGTTTTTTGCCATTCACTGTCAAGTTAAGTCTAACATAAATCCTGTTACCCTCTGTTTTTCTGCTCAGATTCTTTCCATTTGATATGATTTTTCAAAGTTCTCCTTTCTCTATGAAACTATCCTTAAGTTTTCCAACACTCAAAAAGTTCTCTCTTTGAAATAATGCCATCCTCCGATTCTGTGCCTCACCACAGATATAATGTGTGATATGTATCTGCATCAAATTCTGTAGTATATACATGGCTTGTGTCAGATCATTCATTGCATTGTTGTTTTATTGTTTCATATATATTACTTTAATTTCCCAAAGTAAGATCTTAAGTAACAAGGACCATATCTTTTTTTAAAATTATGTATTTAATTTTATTTATTCATTCACTTATTTTAATTTGACCAGGAGGGGGGGAGAGAGAGAGAGAGGAAAGAAAGAAAGTGGGAAAGCAAACCACCAGGTCTGGGATGCCATGTGGGAGTGTCCAGCACCGTAACCACCAGGCCACCTGCTTGTCCCTAGGACTATATCTTTTTTTTTAAAAAGTATTATTTATTTAATTTTATTTACCATCATCATCATTATCTTTTAATTTGCTATAGGTCATGTGCACTCACCAGAGAGAGAGAGATAGAGAGAGGGAAAGTGAGAAACCAAACCACCAGGTCCAGCACTCAAACCACAGTTTGCCTTGTGGGAGTGCTATACCCCAACCACTGTGCCATCCACTGATTCCATAAGGACCATATATTATATTCTTAATATGTTACTTTGCCCCCTTCTTCTCCCAACAACTATCCCCTTGACATGTGTACATGGTAGATACCTATTGTTATTTTTCTGTTTTTAATGAAATAAAAGAAAATTAAAAAACAAAAAATTATTCACATTTTTATCATTACCAGTGCTTTTCATTTCCTTGTGTAGATTTTATGTTCTATCTGATATATCAGGTTGTTGGGAAAGTCATAACATATTTTTCTGTGTTTTTCTATGTAAAAATGTGCCGTGACTTTCCCAACAACCCAATAATTGTTTTTAAGTCTGAAGGAAAATCTAAGAATGCTAAGAGAAATTTTGAGCATTTATTAATCTGAGAAAGTCTTTTTTTTTTTTTTTTTTTCAGCACCTTAAACATTGTGTTTCGGTTGCCTTCTGGCTCCCAGTTTGTAATGAGAATTAATAACTTTTATTCCTCTATACATAATGTATCACCATTTCTCGGGCTTTTAAGGTTTTATCTGTATCCGTTGTTTTCAACAGTTTGATAAGAATGTGCTTAAAATGGTTTCTTTATATTTATTCTGATTAGGCTAATTGAAATTCTTAAATTTGTCAACTTTTTCCCTAAATTCGGAACATTGTTAGCTCTTCTTCAAATAGCTATTCTGTCTCACTTTTTGTCTTCTACTTCTGAGACTCCAATGAAATGTTAGACCGCAGGTAACTGAGACTCTGTTCATTAGTAGTTGTTTTTTGTTTTTGTTTTAACTAATAAACTCTTTTAAAGGCATTTGAGGTTTGTGGGAAATTGAACAGATAACAATTGAACAGTTCTTTCTTGCCCCCTCACATTTGATTCTATTATTAATAGTTCCCAATAATGGTAATAAATACCATTATGTAACATTGCATAGATATGTACATATATAATTTTCCTTTTCTTCACTTTCTATGCCTTATTGCTCAGGTAGCTGCTCTTCTGTGTTAGAGAGGTCAGTCATAGATTTGGTCACCTGGTGAATAGGACTTTGTTTACTTAATACAGGTTTTGCTAATGATGTTTATCTTAGTATAATTGAATTGTTATATAAAGATGAGTGGACGAGTTTGTTTCACTGGTGCTAATATAGCACATCTTTTTTTGCACATTGCATTTATTCCTTAATATATTTGATTTTCTTTTTTGCTGGTAAGCACCTAAAGTATGTATGTGTATGTACATGTTTCTTGTGACAGATTAATATTGAGTTTTGAATTCTCAGATATTGTATTATTCTTCATTCATTTGCATCACCTGCCAAATTCAGGCTTTGTTTTTATCCTTTCTAGGCCCAGCTTCAAAGAGAAAAAGAACAAGATCAGATGAAGCTACATGCAAAACTCGAAAAGCTTGATGTCTTAGAAAAGGAGTGTTTTAAACTTACAACAACTCAGAAAACTGCTGAGGTAAGCTTCCACTTGTTTCTTTGAAGTGATAATACCAGGAGTAAGTCTTTAGTATTAAGCGTAATTGGCGCGGTATGTGAATGTTTGGTAAATCTTAGATATATAAACTTCATCTACAACTTTTAGTAATCCAGATATAAATTCCTACCTGGAGAGATGAAAAATTAATGTGTTCTGTCACAGCATGAATGAGCTTGCCTTTTGATGTAAAATTGTAATTTCGACTTTTAAGATGTCAAGATCTTTTCATTTGTCAGATAATTTACCCAAAGTATCTTGAAAAGATTGTTTTTTGCCATTCACTGTCAAGTTAAGTCTAACATAAATCCTGTTACCCTCTGTTTTTCTGCTCAGATTCTTTCCATTTGATATGATTTTTCAAAGTTCTCCTTTCTCTATGAAACTATCCTTAAGTTTTCCAACACTCAAAAAGTTCTCTCTTTGAAATAATGCCATCCTCCGATTCTGTGCCTCACCACAGATATAATGTGTGATATGTATCTGCATCAAATTCTGTAGTATATACATGGCTTGTGTCAGATCATTCATTGCATTGTTGTTTTATTGTTTCATATATATTACTTTAATTTCCCAAAGTAAGATCTTAAGTAACAAGGACCATATCTTTTTTTAAAATTATGTATTTAATTTTATTTATTCATTCACTTATTTTAATTTGACCAGGAGGGGGGGAGAGAGAGAGAGAGGAAAGAAAGAAAGTGGGAAAGCAAACCACCAGGTCTGGGATGCCATGTGGGAGTGTCCAGCACCGTAACCACCAGGCCACCTGCTTGTCCCTAGGACTATATCTTTTTTTTTAAAAAGTATTATTTATTTAATTTTATTTACCATCATCATCATTATCTTTTAATTTGCTATAGGTCATGTGCACTCACCAGAGAGAGAGAGATAGAGAGAGGGAAAGTGAGAAACCAAACCACCAGGTCCAGCACTCAAACCACAGTTTGCCTTGTGGGAGTGCTATACCCCAACCACTGTGCCATCCACTGATTCCATAAGGACCATATATTATATTCTTAATATGTTACTTTGCCCCCTTCTTCTCCCAACAACTATCCCCTTGACATGTGTACATGGTAGATACCTATTGTTATTTTTCTGTTTTTAATGAAATATTGAGACCCAAGACTCTAATTGTTTGGCCTTCTAGACCTTTAATACTCTCAAAAGTTTGATTAATATGGTTTATCATCATTATGGTTTTGTTACTAGATGTTGTTGAAGCTTTTGTGTGTATGTATTCCTTGTTTTTTTCTTTGTTTCCCTTATATTTGTTTTTGGGGTTTTTTTTTGAGAGATTTTTGCTATAGGGCGCGTGTGCTCGCCAGACAGACAGAGACAGACATAGAGACAGAAAGCGAGAAATCACCCCGCAGGGGGGATGGTCATGCCGCAATCCCTTCTCCTCCATTCTCCTCTCGGGATCTTGGGCACGCACGGACACGTGCCCAGCATGAGTTTAAAGCCACCGGGTCCGGGACGCGAACCGCGGTCAACTACGTGGGAGTCCAGCGACATAGCCATTACCCTAACTGCTGGTTCCCTTGTTTCCCTTATATTTGTGATAGCAAGTAAAGAATTACAAATTTAGCATCTTTTGCCATTTATTTTTCATATTTTCTGCTTTAACTTGACAACTTCTTGAGAATCAAAACCCCTACAACTCTATTTATAAAAGCAACAAAGGGAGTCCAGGAGATGGTGGAATGATTACATCACTGGACTCCCATATGGTTGACCAGGGTTTACATCCTAGACCCAGCAGCTTAAACTCATACTGGGTGCATGTGCGTTGCGTGCATGCCCAAGATCCTGAGAGGAGAATGGAGGAGAAGGGATTGCGGCATGACCATCCCCCCTGCGGGGTGATTTCTCGCTTTCTGTCTTTGTGGTGAGCGCATGTACCCTATAGCAAAGATATCTCTTTAAAAATGAAAGAAAGGAAGGAAGGAAGGAAGGGAGGGAGGGAGGGAGGGAAGGAAGGAAGGAAGGAAGGGAGGAAGGAAGGAAGGGAGGAAGGAAGG